ATTACAGTAATTCTTGACTGCAAACACAGAATCAAAACAATTCAGGAGGTGAAGAGATGCTCTGTATGCCGAGGGATGATGTATTCTAACAAAACAGGTAGCCTGAGCTTCCCTTGCCTGCCGCTCTGCCTCACACCCGAGTAGAGAGCGCCTTGCCAAAAAGGTTTGCTTCCTTTTCACGGTAAGGACAGCATCACTCCATGCACAAGGTGACCTTGACCAAAAGCACTGCGTCACTCAGACTGCATTAACCGACTGAAGGAATTGCTCATTTTGTCTTCTAAGATAAGCACAACATACTGGCTTTTTCTCCCCCGTTTTACTAAGGGCCCCGCAAGCCTTCTCACCCATCTCATCAAATTCCAAGAGCTTGCCTTCTCCAGGCAACACGTCTCCTTTTCTCGGAACGCTAGACTCCAGTGTCACTAAGGAAGTGTCACAGCTTATCGTTATCTCGTGAAGAAGCAGCAGATTGTGTGACCTTGTACATAAAATACATCTTTATCCCCACACTTCCCTATAGCCCTGAACTTGAGCATCATACATTCCCTATTTCTTGCATTTGTCAGTTCCACCAGGAGGTGGCAATAAGGGAAAACAGGACATGACATCAGAGGACAAGATTATGTTTATTCTGTATTTTGCCAACTAAAACTTTATGAGCTGCCTTGATGAGCCTCCTAAAAAGAAGGCCTCCCAAATAAGTCTCTGCATACACAAATACGGTTTTATAAATTCAGGTACAAGCTGAACCCACACGCACCTAAGGGACTAGCCACACAAGCGTTTCTTCAGAGATCTCATTCAGTTTACAGGATTACTGGACTTTGGTTTTCTGATGCTGCTCTCTAAGCCAGCACTGGCTGCTCTCGAGATTCCACATCATTCAACGAGGCTCGTAAAACACATTTCCCTGAATTTCTACACACGAGGTAACTGTTAGAGAAAGATCTGATACAACAAAGCAGAAGTCCCCTTCTCCTGAGACACAGGTGCCCAAGCAAGATACCTTCCTCTCCACCTTCAATGAGCAGAGCTGATGATGTGACACTTGGGAGAGGAAAGCGGCAACGCACCTTAAACGAAGGAAGTGGGATGTTCGGAAGGAATCGTGTGACTTTTAAAATTTTGCTTCCATTATTAAAAATAAATGTCATGAAACATGCTGCTTTGTACTGGAAGCTCAACAAGGAAAATCACCACAGTATTCACATCATATATACTTCATTTTCATCTTTCATTACCTCTATTAACAAAGTACTAATAATGTCTACACACCGTACCATGCTGCTACAACCACAAAAAAAAAAGAGCAGTTGTTTCAGCTTTACATGAAACTCGATGCAAATCGCAACTGTCATCATGCCCAATAACACAGAAACAAAACCAGAGATTTCAGAAAGACGCCACTTTCAAAGAAATGGACAGATTTACATAAACTGAAATTTAAATGCCACTGAACACCAGTTTACTCAGAGGTTTAGAGCATCACATGAAGGAAATTAGTAATAAAATATTTATATTACTCTAAATATAGCTTAAGATCACTTCAAAAATCCATAGTGTAGACAGTCAGAAAACAAAAAGCTGTTGGTATTTTGAGACTTTCCCCTCCCTCTTAAAGGCCATTTCTGCTTTTGGAAAGAAGCACTACTCTCAAAACCAAAAGTACCTTTTCTTCACGAAATAAATATGCCACTATTGTTTCTAAGAGATTTCATGCTGCTGTTGTCAGTCAGTCTGAAAGGAAAAGTCTTTACATATTTTATTCTAAACAGCTTCCCATTTTCTTCCAAAATAGTTATTATATAGAACCAGTTACGTTAAAAAAAAACCACACACAAAGAAAATAAAAACCTGAAAAATTGTAACAAACTATAGAAGAGTGAAGAAAAAAAAAGCATTTAGCAAATCTCAGGGGTGAGTTTACACAAAGTAATTTTAACAGTTAACTCTATTAGTAGAGCTCTTACTGAACACTCCTTTCATCGCATATTCCAAGAAGTTTCAAATCTCAGAGTCTACAGAAGTGTATGACAGCCATTTTCTATGGAAAAAGTGCTATGACCTCTGTACTGGATAGGTGCGTGACGGCTCAGAGGTAAGTTACAGTACCCACACCACTAACTGCGGTACACGCGAGATGAGCCTCAGCCAGAACTCGCCTCAGAAAAGTTAGAGCAGCATTGCTAAACACATCTAACTAAATCAACACAACCCAAAAAAGAAAACAAAAAAAACCCAAACAGTTTATCTGTATGCTACAAAACACTTTCTGAAGTCTTTCCAAAGACAAAAAAAAAAGTAAATGCAGCATTACTCCTCCCTCCAGCACCTGCTAAGCCTGCATTAAAAGGCCAAGAAAAGCTGTGAGCTCATATGAGAATAAAACCTGCCTGTTAAACAGTGCAAGGCCAGGGGTCATGGTGAAATGCAAAGTTCACCCAGCTCTTTGCTGTGCTGTCAGGAAAACAAAACATAAGAGGAAGCATGCTCACAGATACTTCTTTCTCCATAAGCAGCTCTCTCTCGTGATACTAAAGCAAGAGACAGAATCCTTTAGAAAAGAAAACCTTACAAAATGGGGCCGTATCTGTAGGAAGCCCAGGACTACAGCTGTAGCCTTTAATGTTGCTCTTGAAGGACAGGAATCAAAACTTAGTTTCTCCACTACTGTATTACACCATTTAAAAAACACAAACTGCGAGCAACCATCGAAGAAGTGCTTTCTGACACAATGCAGTCATTAGATGATTTCCCAGGTTCTGACTCCTCAAACGTGGCAGTCCTAGAAAGGCTTGGGCTGGCTTACCGAGTCCAACCACAGACCTCTGCTCGCCCGCCGTTCATGCTGCTGGGGCCACTCACTCCCAGAGCTACCCTCGTACATGCTGCAGGAGATGCCCCAGATCTGCCACCCTGCAGCATCTGAGTGGGTGAATCTTGATCTCTCTGGAGCTGCTATTCCTGAGAGAATCTGTACTATAGCAACCAACTGAAGTGAAGGATTTCCCACTAAAATATTTAACCTAACACAAATTAATGTCTATGGATACAACCGATGTCAGTCTCAGACTGCCCAAAGCAAGCTTTACAGTGCCACTGACCACACATTCCATCCCAGGAAGAAAAGATGTTATGCTTTTTTTTTTTTTTAGAATGATCTGCACACAAAACAGCCTATTTAAATGGACTTTAATCTTTACTTCAAAAAATAGATTAAATGAATAATATTAGTGTTTGTATTAAATAACTAATGATTTTGTTAAAAACCCACGACCCACCAACCCAAACGCGCTGCTGAAGGACGCCGTACTAAGTTCTAGCAGGAGTAACTGCGTGTGCTGTTTGTAAGTGTATGAGTTAGAAGAGATGGCACCACTGGAGTTTTCTTTCACATTCTGTAGAAAAGAAAGGTTTCCAGAAAACGCTTCTGCTGTTCACTGACACTTATTGCCAGTTATAGAACAGCTTTGATTTAATATATTAAATACCTTGAAAATAAGAATGTTTTCCCCTTTCTTACTAATGCTTGGCAGAAATACAGCTTTCCTCTTCGCAGAGCTTTACACATATCAGTCACTAACACCATGGGAGGTGGTTAAACACAAAACACATTGTACATGGGAGAAACACAGGATGCAGAGACTAATAGCAAACAGACCACTGCATAAATAGATTTCTGTAGTTTGAAATGCTAATCTTATTTTCAGATCAGGAGGAGAGATAGTAAAGGCAGGATTACATTAATTTCCTACCCCACACCCCCCCACAACCGAGCAGGTTCCCATTTGCTCCACGTATTCTCTCTCAAATGAAAAGAAAGATTTTCAAAATATGTCTAAATGTCAAATGCAAGTAGTTTCAAGATGGTATTTTCATGATTTTTTTAGTATGTAATGAAAATAATGGGGGAAAAAAAAAACCAAATGATCCAACCAGCCAGTCCCTGAGCAGCAAGAGCATGGGCCAGACCCCAAGAGACCTGACAGCCAGACCCCCAGTCCACTCCCCCCAGCTTAAATACTGAGCATGGCATTTTACAGAATGAAATACCCCTTTGGTCAGCTGGGGTCAGCTGTCCTGGCTGTGTCCCCTCCCAGCACAGCTACTGAGCGTCTGAACCATTTCACTTCGTTTACTTTCCAGATTTGAGGGGTTTGACCTCATAATGGCAGCACGAACAGTCTCCAGCTGTTAATAATAAGAGCATCATTTTTATACTGGTGTAGCTTGCCTTACATAGAAAGGTGTTCCTATGCATGTAGACATAAAAATAAAACATTAAATTCAAGAAATGCATTTGATTCACAGAAATCCTGAGTAAGTATATTGCAGCCCTCACCATAATTCCAGAAAAGTTGTACTGCCTTTTTTTCCTTTTAAAAAAAAGATGCTCCA